GACGAGATGGCACACGAGAAGCGCCACAAGTACGGAATAAACCATGACGAAATGGCACACGAGAACTAAGACCATACAAGTTGGGGCACCGCTCAGCTACGGATAACTGGGTTTTCGCATGGAACGAGCTTCACAAACATCTATAACATGTTTTTCAGGCGCCGGAGCCCGTAACCTTCGCTTTCTCTTTGAGCTTATTATTTTCACCACGGTCTTTACATAGCAGTACACATCTATATGAAGCGAGAATATCAAGCAGTATCTCGATTGTCTGTTTCAAACGTACGTGTAATATGTCCAGTCTCCCATCTCCATGCATAGCATGATAGAACCTGGCGACTAAGACCCGATTGCGTTTTCTCTTGACTGTCTAAACGAGCAATCTACTTTTTACGACGCTGCTTTTGCCATGACGCTGTTTCGCTTTCCTTTCCAAGGCTATACATCAACTATGCATTTATCTGGATTTGATTCAAGTACATACCTCACGATTATCTCGTTTTCTAGATAGGTAACCTTTCTCAGTATGGCTGATGAAATCACGTCTCGAAGGTGCACCGGGGCGTCGGCTTGTTCATTTACACTATACCTAGCTGTAGCACTACGAGGACTAATCTGGAAGTGATGGAACCAAATAGAAGAGCTAGCATGATAGATATCTGTATTATTCCAAGTTACTCAGTGCTGTGGCGTTGAGCTATCGTATGTCAAGATGAGGGAGAAGCGCAAATTTGCACGTTTATTGGAGGCGAACTACACAAGATCATTGCAGGGCATGGCAGCTCTCCAGCCTGCATTCACAGGTACTCATCCGGCATCGGGATAAGCGTCTCATTGTTAGCCGCACACATAGCCGGATGCTCCTCCGGAAGAGCCTCGTCGTCATCCATCTTGACGTCGGAGCACTGTTTTTGTATCAGTAGCAGCTCTACTGTTTTTTTTTTTGCCGTAGTGACTGACATGGTATTCCACACTCCCTGTCTTTGGGTTCCTCGCCTCAAAGTACATGACTCCCATCTCTTCGACCTGGGTCTCAAATGTTATCGTGACGTTTACACACAGCTGCCCCGAAGGCTGAATGGGCACATCCTGCACGATGGTGTAGGGGAAGTCCTCTCTCTTCCTTGGCACTCGATTTCGACTATAGAGTGTTGTCACAAGGTCCCCAGGATGGCCGGAGAACGACAGGAAAGTGCGGGAGCCACGGTAGTAGCCTTGGGGGTTATGCACTATCTCCCCTTCTCTGTATTAACCTATGCCGCTGCTAGACTGGGGACAGAGGGGGGCACACTGCAGAAAGGGCTGTACTGATCTATTTCTGGGCGGGTCTTGGGGTTTGGACCGCGGGTCATCCATGGGAACTGGACGTGGAAGCCGGCGTGCGCGGCAGAAGTGAGGTTGATTCTGGTGCTGAGTGTAAATAGGAACGTGATTGTGGCTAGGAGGGAGGACATGGTGATTAGAGGCCCATTTCAGCACGGTACACAGAGCGAGGGCAAGATCAAGTATGCTCAGTCAGTCTAACTCCCTTCAGTCCCTTCATACCAGCTAGAAGGAGCCGTCACCATTACACCCCAAAAATGGCCAGTCGCCGATTTAGGTGACGTCAGATGGTATCAATGGTATCAGGGCAGACAGTTATGGATGTCAACTTCTCCCTACCTCCTTGGCCACGATGCGCGTCAATGCGACCTGATGGATGCATAAATGTACGGTGTGTATTTGACCATGTAGAAGGGCTAGGTCTCAGATGGAATGTAACCCTACTATCTCTGGCGAGCGCGGTGAGCAGTAAGGCGTACCAGCCGTCCTGCAGTTTCACTTCCTAGACAATCATCTAGCACAGGTGCCACCGTCTGCTTTAACATTGATTGCTTCCACCCACAGCGCCCCCTCTCTCAACCTCTCGCTCGCTCTTCTCTACTCTTTGACCGCCCCTCGACATGTCCACCTCCAAAGCAAAGCCCAGCTGTTCCCAGTATGCTCCCCTTTCGCTACACGATGATGGCGAAGGCTCCAGCGCAGCTCTTGAGAAGCGCTCCTTCTCCGAGGATGACCACTCTGCCCCCTTGCTGAAAGGCTCGGACAACCTCCCCGCCCTCGCACCATCCAAGCCCTCCCAGCTTCTCCAGCTCATCTTCTACTTCTCGTTCGCCCTAGCGTTGCTATCGGCCGTGAACATTGCTCTCCTTCCCACTACGCTATCAAAATACCATGCCTACCCATTTTCTGACTCCGAACTCGAGGCCCTCCCCTATGGCGACGCTAGACTGGGGTTGCACAGGGTAGCGGAATCCATCCCCCCTCGCCAGGTCTACCACCACGCTTGGCCGGATAGAATTGTACGGGTGAGCCGGAAGTTGAAGGATGCCGTGTGGGGACAGGGTGTGCAGGTTTACGTTACAGTTGAGGTTCGTTTTGTATACTTGCTCCTTCCTCATCTCTTTCAATGAGCCATCCACCTACTCTTAGTGTCTACCGCTTTGTGTGCAACTTCTAATGCGAGAGAAGGACTCGACAATCATGCGCTTCCCTATCCCCTCTAACGGCGTCAACGCCTGTGCGCTCTCCTGGCGGCCGCCTCCCGAGTTCTCTGCGCGTGTCGACGATGTTACCATCAAGGGCGATGTAACAGAAATAGAAATCTGGCAGCTTATTGCACCTTCGGCCACTTCATCCACCGTCTCTTCCAGTATGGAGGAGCTCGATTATGACACATTATCATACTCGACCCTTCCTGTGCGCGGAGAGTTGCTTGGCGTGCTAGACCTCACCGCCAAGCCAAACAGCACAACAGTGGAGTTTGCCTGTCCCAGCGCAGCGGAGAGTCTAGTAGTAGAGATGAGGTGCCAGCGCGTGGCATGTCATGTGAGCTTTATGCAGATTGATATAGTGCCGAGATTGGGATTCCAGTTGATGAGAAGAAGTGAATAAGGGGAGTAGGGTAGCTAAATTTTCTTCTCATTTGAATTCTTGTTCACGTAGAATAGATCTAGTCTTTAGGTATGCCGCGTGACTCTTCATATCAATGGTCACCTATAGCCCCAAGACCGTCGCTTGACCAGACGGCCTGCTGCGCTGAGGGTTCTTCCGCACATGGAATCAAAGTCGAACATTTAATACTAGTAGGCAGGGCCAATTTGTCAGATGGTACAATGTCCAATTCTAAGAATTCTATAAAAAAGGTACAATTCGGGGGCCGGCCCCTTGCCTTGGGTGGATCTGAAAAGCAGGGTAATTGGGCATGAGCTTACCCCCATACTAATTTTACAGCAGGGGTGATCCCAGGTGACTATAATAATTAATCTGGTGGGATTAGATTATAGTAAATCCTCTCACTTTTTTTTCGTGCTGCCTATTCTAGTGGTATGAGTAAAAAGTAACTAACATATAAATCCTGCCAGTGCCTCATATACTCCAGGCCAAGCACAGGATCACATCTTTCGAGGCTCTCTGGATAGAAAAATTACCTGGATCTAATAAATATCCCTGGATTACCTGTTCTCTCTACCCTCTCTCACTTTTACTTTCTCACCGCTCGCTAGTAAGAGTAAGGTCTTTAATACAACAGTGCTCGCCTATTATCTATGATTTTATATCTCTCTCTTATTCATACTTTCTACTCTCCAGACTCTTAAGTAATATAGTAAGCGCCTTCTTATTGCTGAGTGATCGCTGGTAGTAATATACTTCTCTATCTAGTCTCATGTATTAGCTATGCTCACTCAGGCAGTGCTTGAGTGTTGTAAACTAAATAGTGAATTGAATATTCGCATGGTGCTAGGGCTAGAGTAGCTTACCAAACTAGCTCTAGCTACTAATTAGCAGCTGGAGAGTGAGACTCGTGTGCAAGGTTATTAGACAGATAATGGGAGTCTCTGCTTATCTTTCTTTCTCTGTTAAATAGGAAGTAGAGGAGCAAGTTAGTGATAAGAGAGAATAAGTAGTGATTCTTATATCATGAGATGCATGTGAAGCCCGCTTGGAGAGTATCCAGGGGGGTTGGAAAGGAGCGAGGGCCATGGATGCCTGGGTTGCTAATTTTGTCTGATTAGGGGAGTAGTAGTAGGGGTAGTCCTCATTGTCCTGTCCTAGCTTGCTTAATCAATCCTTACTAGCGGTGGTATTCAAGAACCATTAGCAAATCCTTTGCAACTCTTACTATGACCCTACTATAGATTATTGCTGAATTGACTCTCCTATACACGGTGTCTATCATGCTATATTCATGACTCTGGACGAGTCGGTGGATAATAAAGCTTTATACTCTATCCTAGGCTGCCCTGTAATTATATATCTTACTCTCCTTCTCACTATGCTGTATTAATTGATAACCACTACCCGAAAATAGCTTTATTGCGGGACAGGTCACGATTGCAATCAGGAGAGTGGCGAATTAAAAGTCATTAAGGAATTTGTCCCTTTCAGGCATATTTCTCTGATTTATTCTCACATAATAAATTATTACCATTAACACTCTTCTGTTATATAATAGTATATTATAGCTTCTTGTTTTTGAACAGATTGCTCCTGAGTTCTGACATTTTATAGGAATCTAGCAAGTGATTATTTTATACTAGCTGGGGCCTTGAATAAGCTATAAGGTTGTAGTATATATAATCTTGATCCTAGATTTGGTAATTAGATCTCTGAAGACAGTTAAATTTTATAAATAAATAATATTACTCAAAAAATTAACTCTCTCAGTAAGTTATAACTTTGAACATAATAGATAGTACTTTAGTAGATTAAACCTCCAATCTTAGATTCCAAAAATAATTCATCGCCAAGATATGTAAGTAAGAAAAATAGTTATCTTGTATACTATACATGATGGTCAGCTTGATAGGGATGGTGAGCTTGATAGTTTTTCATGAATCAGTATGCACACGTGGCATAAGCACACCTACAGATAAAAAGAATTGTGTCTCCTGGTTTGTTTAGTTAAGTGCTAGGTTTGTGTTCATGTGTAAAGTCTCTTACTAGAGCCACTGGTTATCCTTAGTGGTATTCATACCCATAATTTTAGCTATACTGTATGCTAGGGATGTCGGATAATGATAAGCTGAGTTAATCTCAGATATTTGAGAACTACTTGCGCCTCACTAGGGAAAGTAGAGACAACCATGCGCCGGATGTGGTGGGATAATCCAGCACTGACTCAACTTTATGGACTGCTCCAAATGCAAGTCCCGCGACCCCCCCACTCCGTGTGGTAGAACGCTCTCCAACAGCTGCAAATGTGTCTAGCAATTTTTATTACTCGAAATATAGGATACTTCTACGCTGGGGCGAGAGTGTTGCAAGTAGGGGCCCCCCAGATGGGTCAAGGTGCGCCGATGCGAAGAGTAGCCTACACTAATCAGGAGATGCATGCCCCCGAGCAGGGTCTCCGGTGGTTGGGAGTATGCTCGTTGGGTCTAGTCTGCCATCAGAGAAATTCACTCGGCAGTTGCTGCAAGACTTCGATCACGGTGCCACAGCAAATTTCGCCTCGATTGACAGGCTGAGAAACCCGGAAAGAAACATCATTCTGCCTCTTTCCATGCATCCCCGACAGTATTCTACTCCGTGCTTGCCATGATCTTGGAGGACCTGGCCTACAAATATCCAACGGGGCATACATATGCACAGCAGCTCCATGCGGGGTCAGGGCACCACCCCGATAGTACACTATAGTACCTCTCTCAAGAGTTGGTCACCCGAATATGATCGCGGATGTCGACCAGGAGCGATGTATTTCAGCCTCGGCGCTTTTGCTTTACAACCTCGAACTGCTCACCACCCTGGCTACCCAATGACAAATATACATTTGTTGCGCGCGCGACATCATCCAATAGAAGCTACATGCAGCGAGTCCCTCTTCCTCCACAGCCATCACCCAACACCTCTTTCTGTACATTTTATGGAAATTTATGACGGGGTTGTATACATGACCGCGATCGCAGATTGCTCCATGATGGTCCCTGGAGATTGAATAATTTCTCGGGATCTATTTTCCCTCAAGCATGTTGTGACTAGGCCCTTTTTTAGACCCTGTTGGTTTCATGTCTTCAGGCTGGCTACGACCATTGACTTCATTAATGAGAATTAATAGAACTTGATCTTGTTTACCCGTACATGATGATTGTACCACCCGAATTATTATCAAGGGTGGGTTACTGAGCTAGGTATTCTGAAATATGGAACAGCAAAAATAGACATAAGGAATGAGAAAGCAGGACTTTCACTTATATCTTAAGCCCTGATTAGATGGAAGAAATGGTCAGATTCACTGACTCTAGAGGGCTGTATGTGATTGCCCTATGAGAATCCACCCAAAGAGAGTCTAGCTCATCCAGTAGAAGACTCCATCAAAAAACAAAGGCTAGCTGCAATTACTCAGTGACACTCATAGTTTAGACAGTTTCTAAGCGAGTACTAAAATGGGGCAATATTACAAAACACGGTGTGTTATAGTGACAGAGGTGCGATATTCAAATGTTGAAATATCAGTCAAGTTAAGCCCCATACCAAGTATTCGTCAACATTTTGGTGTAGTAGTATCAAAAGTATACACTAGTTGGCAATTAAAAGAGTAGTGTTACTAATGAATTGGACTAAAACTGAACCAGTTTGATGTAAACCATTCTCAGGGTCACTTCCTAATTTCATTAATGTGACTCTAGGCGGAACAGTAACTGTTATCAGTAGGCTAGAGTGCGCCCTTTTCTTTTAAATTACAAGTCCGTACCGCCAAATCATTGGTTTCAGGGAATAGAACCAATCGATGCTTTTCAGGTCTCATTAGCTTCTTCTGCTTGAATTTTTAGCAAGACCCCTACTGAAGAGAGACAAATCAAGTTGCGAATCTGATAACACCGGGTAACTCGGCTACCGATCAGATAAGGGAATTTCGCTGCGGGCCCAAGCGATGGGGTCCACCTCTAGGCTCTGAAAGGCAATGCTTGTAAGTTTTAGCTTGGGCACCGCTCTTCGGCTCAGATGAAATTCCACTCTATCCCAGAAGCACCCGATCAATTCCAGGTAATATATTGAGCCGATCGCTCATCTAGGCGAAGTCTGGCCATTCAATGTATGGCTTGTAAAATCAGTCAACAGGGTAATCTTTGCCGATCGTCATGTCAATTTGTCCGTCCACCGAATTAGTTAAGCGCATGGCTCGTTCTTTTTGTTTCTAGTTTCTTTTTTTCTTTTTCTTTTTTCCTTTTTTTGTTTCACCCCAAGTTGTCTCCCAGTGTCTGCAGGATGTTGGTATATAAAGATTGAACAGCCGCAAAATCTACCTAGTTTTTTTTTTAGAACCCCACCAATCGATCTAGTGTCGAAAAAATGTTCTTCTTCTCTCTTGTGGCCCTGGTGGCTCCCATGTTGTGTCGAGCCGCCTGCCCCTATGCGAACCTGGCAGATACCAAAGATGTTGATACGAGCATCAACCCGCACTCAGGTGCAGTGGTCCCTCGCGCCGTGCCAGGAAAGAAGGGTGTGATGCTGATGAACCGCATCAACCCCTCGTCATCAGAACTGTTTATCGCGAATGCGGACGGTTCCAACGAACGCTCTTTGCTTGGCGACGACTCCGTGTTCGAATACCACGCATCATTCTCCCCTGACAATAAAAAAGTTATTTTCACCACTGAACGCAATGGTGACGGTAACTCCGATGTCTACATGGTCAACATCGACGGTAGCGGCTTGAAATCAGTCGCTACTACACCCTCTGTTGAAGACGCGGCGGTTGTTTCACCCAACGGGAAGTTTGTCGCCTACGCGTCCACCGCCGGCGTCTACACCTCCAACATCTGGCTCATGAACCTTGAGACCGGCGTGGTTCGAAACCTCACCAATCAAACCGGCGTTACGGGGAAGCCTGAATCGCCGAACGGGTTCTTCGCGCCGGCCTGGTCGCCCGATGGAGAATGGATCGTCTTTTCCTCGGACCGAAATACTGCGTGGACAGGTCACGATGATGGCTCGGGCTGGGAGCATACGCAGGAACTGGCTCTTTACGCCATTACGCCCGAGGGCACTGGTTTTCGCAAGGTGTACGGGAAGTCGGGTCATACCTACGGATCGCCCCGATTCTCCCCGGACGGCAAGCGGATTGTATGCTACGAGATGACTTTGCAAGCAACATGGGACTCGAGGACAGCTTTCAGCGTGAATTCATCGGAAAGCCAGATCGTTTCAGTAAACTTCAAGTCTGGTAACGATTTTGTTCGACACACCAATACATCTGGTGTCAAGATATACCCGCAGTATGTCTCAAATACCGACATCGGATACCTGATAAAGGGTGGAGATGCTGGCGGAATTCACTATACTTCTAGCTCGAAAAAGATCCTCGGCGGTATGCGTTCCCCGGCGTGGTCTGCCGACGGCAAATATGTTGTCTACGAGAAGACTGGGTGGGATATTCGGCCATTGCAGAAGGAGCTCTGGTCCTGGGACTCCGAGTGGGATTACCGCTTCATGGACGTGTTCCCCCAACTCTCCCCCCAGGGAAAGCTGGCCTTTACCACCAAGCAGACCGGCAATCCTGGAAACAGCTCGGTGGCGGTTTCGGCGCCCGACGATCCAGACTTTGTTATTGCGTTTGATACGGACGCATCAGGCGTCCTTGACCCAGACACGGTGGCCAGGGGTGGTGGTGGATCGTTTCAGCCTGCATGGTCGATGGACGAAGAGTGGATCGCATTCGGGCTTGGATCTTGGTTCCAGAGCCGTGACAAAGCCCCCGGGTGGATCTTCCGGACCAAGGCAGATGGATCGAGCTTCGAGCAACTGACCTTCGGCAACTCAACCAACAAGGGGTACCCCAGCTTCTCTCCCGACGGCAAAATGATCGTCTACCGCGAATGGATGCCCGGTCTCGGTCTGCGTCTGCTGAATTTGGAGACCAACAAGACTAAGACTCTGACTACGGAGCGTGATAACTTGCCGTATTTCTCCCCGGACGGGGAGTGGGTGCTATTCACTCGCAACATGACCGACTTGTCCCGGGATGAGTTCTCGAACTACGAGGTGTGCATCATTCGTCCGGATGGAACGGATCTCACTGTACTCACTACGTCGTTTGCCAACGATGCACACGCCGTCTGGACGGCCGATGGTCGCATCTTGTGGTCAAGTGGGATGTGGGGATTCCAGGCAGAGGCCGCGACTTACGATAACACGTTCCAGCCCTATGGCCAGATCATGATCATGGATATGGATGGCTCGAACATGAAGGTCTTGACGGATAGTCTTTGGGAAGATGCCATGCCAGTATACGTCCCCAACGCTTTTTTGGACCAGTAATGCAAGGGCAGTGGCAGAATGGCAGCTGAGTGCCAAGTAGACATCCTAACAACTGTGTACAAAAAACCCACATTCACACATTGCAGTTTGTCTTTTTTTATGTAGTCGGGCTATGAAAAGGATGGAAGAAGGGGATTCTGGATAGGATAGAGAGGCATATAGCCTCCGAGAATAAAAGAGTGGAATAGTTGGATTCTAAGTTGAAACAACGTGTTTGCGGATAGATCTTGACAGGGAGATCAACGATCCCGGGCTAATATCAAACTGTTCTAGAAAGAGTAAATCAGCCGTAAGGTAATTTACGGGGGGGAATATAGATACAGTAAACACCAATACAAGAGACAATAAAACACCAGACATAGACATTACTCCGTAAAGGCGCCCATCGCAGGTTACGCTGACCCTCCGCCAGTGGGGAACCCGATCCTACGCCTAGTTGCCGCCAACTAGTTAAATTCAGGATAGATGTTGTTGTTCTCCCCAGTGGGCGCGCTGTTTTTATCAGTGTTAACATACAGGTCAACAAACTGCTTGAGGGCCCTCTTCGCGCTGTGTGGAAATAAAACTACATCCAGATACGGTAGAAGCTCAGGTTCGGTGGTAGTTCTGAATGGTAATAGTGCAAAGAGTGTACCTTCGACCTCCTAGCTGCCAATGATATGGGGCACTTTGGTCACAGTCTTTTTCATGTCAAGTCAATCGAAAGGCTCAGTCACCACGACTCCATCGAGACGGGGAAGGTAGGAAAGAGCGAGAGAATGATATCCTAATATTGCGGGCTCAGAGCTCGCCGCGCTGAGCATTACAGTATAGTCCACCTCTCGCAGGCACTCCAAAGTAAGACGCTCTCCAAAGCAGCCAGTGGAACTCTGAAGCAATAACCTGAATAAAAACTAGATTTCTCAGAGCCCAAGTCGCTGGGTCTGCGGGTAGGTCTGGGTGATGAGCTTTTACCCCGGACCCAGACTAGGTTGGATTTTGGGTCAGGACCTTTGATCCAAGATAGATTGTGTCAAAGACTACTATGGCATGTATTTCATTCATTGATCTATTGAATTAATCCATTCTATCCAAATATATCCTTTTGAGGCCTAGTCTAGGAAGCGTAGCTCTTCTTGATATTTCTTATACCGTGGTACATGTCCCAGCCCCACCCTTGCTACTTTCTGTCCGCTGCTTGTCAATATGATCGAAATGTGAAAAGTATATGTAGGTATCCTTAGGTATCTTTAGGGATAAATAGGGATATATAGAAATATATAAGTATGAACTACGGTAACGTGAATCCCTACCGAACCGGCCACCCCCACCGAGCCGGCCACTGTGTATTGCACATAACATGTTCATTTTTATATCTAGATATCTTGACAACGAGTAATTCATAGAAGATAAAATTTAGAGTATAAATTTAATAATATAGTATATCTACTATAATACAAATTATTACTCATAAAAATGATTAATTCTTGAGGTAATATTAATTACACATGTATTTTTTAATACTCTATGTAATAAAGCATATAAATAATATTTTTTAAATTTAATCTCAATATGTTACTTCTTTACAGTATATTAAAGCTATTATAAAAGTATCAGCTCTTTTCATCTCTTAGTTGTTGAGATATTAAGATAATTAAATGAGATATTTTGTATGCAATACAGGGTGGCCGGCTCGGTGGGGGTGGCCGGTTCGGTAGGGATTCACGTTAACTAGGCATACTTAGCAGGATTACTCATTTGATTTAGTCATTTGGTCAGAAGGTATACTAGAATTCTCTCGAGTGCGATCGATAGTATTCGTTCTATAGAATCAACAGATATGTTAACCATGGTAATAGATCTGTTAAACACTATAATAACAACAGGTATTATTCAAATAGACGTTTATCTTTCACAACCACTAGACAGTCATGTTCATTCTCTTTACTAAAAAAAAAAGTGTTGATGGTATTGTAAAGTGGTGCGAATCCCGGCTTCAATTCAACGCTAGTTCAAAGAAGCTACACTATTTAGGCTATTATACCTAGCAATGGCAGTCTCTGAACACACTTTTCGAGATAGACATCTATCCTTTTAACATCTCCTAGCTCTGCGACAACTCCAACGTAGCCATCAGGACGGACTACGGCAAGCACACCTCGCTTGATATCCACCCCAAAGATCTTATATGCATCATCGATTTTGGAGCCGTCATAAAAGCTCATCTCGGAATACTGTTTCACTCTGCTGGGAAGGGCATTAAGGTTTAATCGACTAGGTAGACCAGGATGCAAGACTACCAGCTCTATGGTCGAAGGTGGAAAAAAAGGAAGCAGTGATTCGGTGACATATCTGAGTGTTTGGGGCGAGGTACCCTGGGGGTCAAGAAGATCGGTCGACGTGAGTACAAGGATTCTGAAGCGTCCAGAAGATGGAAAGTCTGCCGTTATTAGCTGGAATCCGCTGAACGGCTAAAGTTGATTTGCAGAATTAACCACTTACTATCTTGTAGATCTCGCGGTGATCCATCTGCTTCCCTCCTCAATTTGACATTGGAAAGTCTTCTTCCCGGACGCAAGATTCCGGACGCATAATCAGTCCCACTGATTGGATTTCCATTTTCTGCTGTTGTCTGAACAGCTATGGATTCTGGGTACTCAATCCCGCATCCTGACATGAATGCGCTTCCTTTTTTGAAATTATCGATGAAATCTTCCGAGGTAAGAGTGTTGGCACTGGCGTCTCGAGCCCCTGTTACCTTTCCAGAGGCCATCAAAGCTGTGACCCGGTCAAACTCCATAAGCTGTTGGGCGATTGGATGACGCTCGGTGTGATATGAGTCAAGCAGAGACTTCGAGGACGTTTTTGGAATTAGACCATTGATACAATATATGAGCTTCCAAGCCAAGTTGTAAGAGTCCATCATCGACACATTCATGCCTTGTCCTGCCATGGGGCTATGAACATGACAAGCTATAAGGGATTATTAGCCTATCCTTATACAGGTTTTGGAGAACAGTGACAAGGGTTACCATCTCCAACAAAAAATACACGGGGTGTGCCGGCGGAGTCTGCAACAGTGAATTGGCTCAACATACGCTGGCTTATCTCGTAGACAGCCCACCAATACACCCCCCTGTTTGGTTTGGGGTTAATTGTGAATGGCCTGAAAGCAGAAGCGGCGTATTCAAGGATGTCGTCCAGTGTGAATCTATTTCGCTTGGCCTTTGTTGTTTCTTGAGTATCCCATGCATTCACCTTTTCTGGAGTTTGAACATATAGCCGGGTCAAGTATTCACCTGACTCAATTTGTTCACGTGGAATGATTAACACTGACCCTGTTGACGAATGGATGAAGCTTGCCCTGCGGATATCAGGGAAGTCCGTCTCAACGATCAAGTCTATGACACCCCATATATAGCCAAGTGAATTGCCTTCCAGCTGGAGCTCCATGCAACGCCGCACGTTGGAATGAGCTCCATCCGCACCCACGAGATACTTGCTCCTCACAGTGCGACATTTTCCCTTAGCCTCTATTATGGCTTCAACGGGGAAATCCGGGTCGTCACTAATTGTGACGTTGCTGAGTCTCGTACCGCGATGGATCCCTTCATTATGATAGCGCAGAAGGTCATTCTCAATAAAGGGCTCGATCTTAGAGATATGAAGAGCGAGGTTGAACGGGTAGCGAGCTGCAGTAGATATAAGCGGATTAACAGCGGTATGTTCGATGAAATTCTCTTGCGTTGGCGAAGGGTCCCAGACGGCAGTCTCCCACAATTGATACCCCTATATAATTGATAAGCCATCAAACATCAGATTTCAAAAACCATGCTTAAATTTTCTAGTGTTTACATACTGCATTGATAATGTCATCAGCAAGTCCCAAGGATTTGAGCACCTCGAGTGTCCGGGGTTGAAAAGCGTCGGCGTGGCCAGAGCTTTGGCCACTCTCATTTTGGTCAATGCAAAGGAGAGAATGGTCGCCAAGCCCATAACGAGCGAGAAGCAAGGTGAGCATCATTCCTGCTGGTCCACCCTAGGATGGGAGTCAGCTTCCCTTATCCTCTGTGAAAAGGTATTTTTGCAGGCACATACACCAACAACAATGATCTCATACTTCGCTTCGCCATTTTGTTCAAAATTTTGGGTCAAACGAGGTAGGGGAGGTGATAGGAAGTGCTTTTCCTGTGCCCTTTCCTGTTTGACTGTATATCTAGTATGAATAGTCATTTCCTCACTTGGACAAATGTTCCTCTCACAGTTAATTAAGTAAAAGCAGTGTATACTAGATACTAATATATATAGCCGAGTGGGCAGTCCTGCATATTGAATTACTCTTCACATGATACCATGATAAAGCACCACGGATGAGGGACCCGGAATTTTTTGGTTGCTTTGGCATTGGTCAGATTATACTAATATGGCAAAAGTAATTTTGTCATGAATACTTGACATGTCAAGATTTAAGTTTTTCTGAATCAGTATGCAAGGTGTGTTGCTGCCTAAATAAACATAGTACTGTAACACAAATCAGCTGTTTGTCCTACCGGCATTCCTGTTTACCTCCTATAGTGAGAAAAAAACCCCACAACAGGTACAGGGTCCAACAGACGGCAGAGACATTAAATAACCATTAATCCCACTGATATCCTTGGTTTGTTACTTTGGGTTATGATAAAGGAGCCCTACACTTAAATAAGGAGCTTCACAGACCACTCAGAAGCTGAACATATAGTGATAAAGATAAAATACAAATACTAAATAGGAGAAGTGCCTATATTTAGCTTACTATATTAATAAAACTAATAATACTGCTGCTAGCGCCACAAAGTCTTAATCATGCATTACTGGGGGTACCAGAAACAGGATTCTACATCTATAGGTCCGATTACATGCCAGGAAACATAGGAAAAATGTCTCTCATATCACATTCTTCACCGCTTTTTATTCTCAGGTGACGTAGGACGCTGTAGACTGGTCATGATACTCTAGACCATTAATCACTCTCAAGAGAAAGT